GTCCTCTGAAAATTGCCTGTGGTCATGAAATTTGCGCTGTATGTTATGCAGCAGAGATTGTTTCCTGTCCTTTATGCCGATGGCGTCCTAACGATCGAGATCGCTAAAGAGGACGAGGAGTTGTGAGTGGGAGGGAGGTATACACTAACAGGAAAAAACTTCATTGGAAGGTCCCAAAATTGTGGAGCTAGTCATGACCCTGTGAATGAAATATGGCTATTATGATATTGTTGTATGCGGATTGCGCGAGTAGCGCGTGTTATGGAATGCACAATTCGACACCTTACTCTATACCATTCATAATAATGTGTCGTTATGCATTCGGTCCTCCTGAGCTACTCAGACCACATGACTGAGGTACATGATAGCCCACACTGAGCCAGGCCTGAGTTAGGGCGGCAAATACACTAACCGTATTTGGACAAATCTGATTGCGCTGTTTGTGTGACAACCCTCTCATCCAGAATCAGGAACCAGCACAAGCTCAATCGGTAACCCGTTCCCCAAGGTAGCTCAGGTGCGGTGGCCACAAGGAGGGAGGGGTCTTCTGCGTGGCTTACTCCGAACCACACTCATTCTCACTTTCTCACTCACCTCAACTCTTTTCTCTCACTTTAATCTTTCTCCAACGCGACGGGGCTCGGGAATTGGCCAGACTTGGCTTCTCAGGAGGGAGGACAGCCACTGGTCTGGCTCGCTCAGCGCAGCTCACTGCACACGTTCACGGCGCTCATCAAAATTTGACTCACTCTCATCTCACGTCGCGCGCCTCTCACCTCAACGGCCGCATTCCTCACTTCTCCTACTGGTCTGCTTCACCTTTGCGACACCTACTCAACTTCAAGCCCATAGACTCACTGTCCCGACGACATCCACGGCGCCCCCGACAACGACAACCGAGAGCGGCACACGATCAGGTCCTTTCGAGGGGGCGACATCCCCCCAATAGCGAAATACCCCGACGCGGTGAGCCAGCCCGAAACCCCCAAGAAAACCATTCGCCATGCGCCCGAACAAGGCCCCGCGATGGGGGGCGGTGAGCCGCACCTCCGACAAAGCCTCCATCCTCACCCTCCTCGGCATCTCAGAACTCCTCAAGCTCCGCGGGAAATGGAGCATGGCCCTACGCCTCGGCACTTTCGCCCTCCGCCAGTCCCAAGGCCTCGGGACGCTGACAGAGGGGCTCGCCCTGCTGAGCGTCGGCCATGCCTATCGCAACCAAACCCCCGAAGACTGGATCTCGGCCCAGCACCACCTCCGCATGGCGAAACTCCTCCTCGAGGGTCTCCCAACGAGCGAGGACCAGACTTTCTACCTTATGCGCGCCGTCCTGCTTCTCGGCGACACCCTCGTGCGCCGCGAGGATCTGGGCGACATCGCCGAGGCCGAAGAGCTGGCTCATCTCGCCGAGCGCCTGCTGCGCCAGAGCCGTGAAGGGCGATCGTCGGATTCGGGCGGCAGCAGCAGGGGTAGATCGTTCCGCTGGACGCTGTTCACAGGTTCATGGCGCGACTTTTGTCTACACTCTATGGTCGAGCTGGGCGAGATATACTACTACACGAGTCGCTGGGCCGAAGGGGAGAAGCTGCTGCGCGAGCTGGTGCCCACGCTGGTGCGGCGGAGGGGTAAACGCCACGTCACGACGATCGAAGCGCAGCGCGACCTGGCAAGCATGCTCGTCAACCAGGACAAGTACGAAGAGGCCGAGATCGCGTACCGCATCGCGCGGGACTGGAACGAGGAGGTACCCGTCTTCGGGCACGAAGAGAAGGCCGCCATCGACTACAATATCGCAATGTGCCTCTCGGAGCGCGGGCGGGACGAGGAGGCCCGCCTGGAGATTGGCAACATGGACCTGGCCGCCGACCTGCTGCACTACGCCAACGGCGAGTGGACGCTGAAGCTGGCGCGGCTCACGAGCCTGCGGCTGAAAAAGTACGACGAGGTCATTGGGCTCTGCCGGCGCTTTCAGCGCGTGCTGGACGAGCACAGGGCCCGGTTCGGGGTCTGCAGCACCGTGACGCTGCGCAACATGGAGGACCACGTCACGGCGCTCAAGGCCCTGCGGAGGTGGGACGAGGCGATTGTCATCCTACGCGACATGTGCCGGCGCGAGGCGAGCGACGTCGCGCGCGTGGTCGAGCAGACGCTGGAGACGCGGCTGAACCTCGCGCACACGCTGCGGTGCGCGGGGCTCCACGAGGAGGCGGCGTACGAGTACCGCAAGTGTCTCGAGATCGAGCGGGCGGCCTCCAACGACTTCCAGGACGAGGCGCAGATTCGGAATATACTAAAGTACCTCGCGTACCTGTACGAGCTGGCGGGCGACAAGACGAACGCGCTGATTGCGTATTCGCAGCTGCAGAGGGAGTACTGGGGCCGGCCGAGCCATCATAGGAATTTTATCAAATACGAGTGGTGCCGTGGCAAGATGTTTATGTTGCAGGGTCGGTGGGAGCACGCCTTGAAGCTGCTGCTTGGCGCGCTCGCTGTCAAGAGGGGGATCGAGACGGCTGTGTCCATCATCACGGGGTTGCCAATCGAGGCGGTGCATGCTATGCAACCTGGGAGGAGGGTGCCCGAGCCGACGCAGCAAGACATATTAGAAGTCGACGACGAGACCGACGAGGAGGAGCAAGATCTTAAGGGGCTGGAAAAGGTGGACACCCGGGGCCAGGTCCAGGTGCAAGAGCTGGATGGCTCAGAGGATACTTCTGACGATGAGGCAGAGCAGCAGTCGTGGGATGAGATCGACTGGTGGGAGGAGGTCATCAAAGACGCCGTGGACGCGGTACGGCGCGAGGAGCCCTTCCAGGCGTGCACGCCGCTCGACGAGGCTGACTCGGAGGTGGACGACGACGAGGTCGAGGAGACGGTGGATGCCGTGCTCACGCTGAAGAGCGGGTATCCTGCCGTGCCTGCGGGCGACGAGTGGTCACAGCCGCAGTGGCCACGGCTCCCGGATACGTATGAGGAGTTGGTGATTCAGCAGCGAAGTGTTGTTGAGGAGAGTAGACCTTGGGTTCCGTGAGGGCATTCAGGGACGATGATGAGAAGGGTCTCGAGGCGTCTGTTGCATAAAACTTTGTTTGATGATATCCGGAGTTGGGCATGATGCTTTGCATCAGACGGTTTGGAGGAGTGTCTTTGCTGGCACTTCATGTTGATTGGATCCATGGAGAACGTACATACAGGTTGGACAGGACTGGATATAATGACTTTTACGCCCCCTTGACTATAAAATAATGACATTGCATATTACTCTACGTAAATACCCCAATATACTGGTGACTACTGTTAATATGGCATAAATTTCAGAGAGTACCAGTGTCCACGTTGATTCCCTCATACCGTCCGGGCCTAGAGCCGGCCGCGGAGATCCGCCACCGGTTTTAGCTACCGTAACGCCGGTGCTTACTCAGACGGAGGAGGACTCCGCGGCAGGCAGGCTCCGTGGAAGACCCCTCACTGCTCCGGATCAGCGAAGGATTACATCAGTTCATGGACGGATAACTAGTGCTTGATTCACGTGAATATAGAGATAGGTATATTTGATACGTAATCGGGCTGGTGCTGCTTCTTGGGAACCTTCTTTCGATAGTTTGTGGTATTAATACGTCAAACAGCCTGAAGAACCTAGCAAAAGCCCCAAGTCCGATTTGTATTGAGTCGCGCAGAAGTTTCATGTTGCAAACGGAGCTTACGATACTCCCATCAACATACTAACTTATACTGCAATCCATATTTCGCTTTGACTGTAGTCGCCTACTCTGAACCGCATATTATACTCCTCACCAACATGTCAATCCTCGTCCTCGGAGCAGGCGAACTCGGCACAGCCATCCTCAACGCCCTCACATCTCACGCCTCCCGCCCACCCACCTCCAAAATCTCCGTCCTGCTCCGCCCCTCCACCATATCATCACCTGACCCGCCCAAAGCCAAATCCATCGCACACATCCAATCCCTCGGCATCTTCCTCGAGCCTGGCGACATCGTGCACGACTCACTCACATCCCTCGCCTCCATCTTTGCGAAATACGACACCGTCATAAGCTGCACAGGCTTCGTTGGCCCCGCCGGAACACAGCTACGCATCTGTGAGGCTGCTCTCCTGGCCAAGGTTCCGCGGTACTTTCCATGGCAATTTGGCGTCGATTATGATATCATCGGACGAGGCAGCACGCAGTCGTTGTTTGACGAGCAGCTTGAGGTTAGAAATATGCTGCGGACTCGGTGCAGTACTGAGTGGATCATCGTTAGTACTGGTCTCTTCATGAGTTTCCTATTTGTAAAGGAATTTGGCGTTGTAGATTTCGAGGAAAAGAAGTTGAGGGCTCTTGGGGGCTGGGATGTCGAGATTACGCTCACACAGCCTGATGACATCGCGAGGATGACGGCTGAGTTGGTGTTTGAGTCTCGTGGGATTCCTAGCAATGGTCGAAATGTTGTGTATGTTGCTGGAGATACTGTCTCGTACGGGACTGTGGCGGACTTGGTTGAGGAGCGGTTCCCGGGGGTTGAGTTCAGTAGGGAGGTATGGAATATGGAGGCGATCAGGGAGAGTCTTGTGCAAGATCCCGGGAACAACTGGAATAAGTACCGCGGAATCTTTGGTGCGGGTAAGGGGATCTCTTGGCCGTTGGAGAAGACGTTGAATCATGAGCGAGGTATCAAACTGGAGGACTTACAAACTTTCCTTGGAAGGATGGAGACGCCAGCCTCACTTAAGTAGGTGATGTAGGCATACAAGCCGAATAGATAGAAGTTTTTCTCCCAAAGGTCAATTGAACTTTTCAAAATATAACGTAGTCTATCGAAACCAATAACAAAATCAAATAGTTTACATCCTTTACTCCGGAACATGATCTATCCGCGTTCAATATCCCCCAGTCGATAATGACAAAAATTGTCTTTCCAAATCCCAAATCATCCACCGTCTTCCCAACTTCGCGAGAAGAATCCCAAATCCATTCAGCCCTGTGTAATAAACTCATGCTCTAGCAGTAGAATATCATCGCAAGGGCAACATGCACAGCCAAGATAAACGACCACCCAGCAAAGGGCCCCTTGATGCCAGCCGCATTACGGTTGCGGTCATTGTCATCATCATCATCGTCGTCGTCATTGTCGTTATCATCTTCTTCGCTCAGAGTCTGAGGCACATCGCTCCCCGCAACGACATCCTTCGCGCGGACGCAGTGTAGAGTAGCCCGACTCTCCGCAGCATCGCCAGAGCCACCCCAGGTCAGCATCACGGGCCAAATCATCCGGCTCGCGATAGCATACTCGCCACCTCGACGACGGTCGTCGTTGTTGTTGTCGTTGTTGCCCCAGTTGTAGGACTGGGATCCGTAGGCGAAAATTTGGGATCCAGAGGCGATATTGGGAGCTTTTCAAGCAAGTGTGTAAGCGGCCAATCTTTGACTTAGTATGTTAACTTTTAAACCCTAAACTTACAGTAACCGAAGCGTTCATCGTTGGCGTCCTCGAGGAAATCTTTGCATTCGCCGGGCAGGTCTGCGACCCCGCAAGACCCAAATTGGCCAGAAGATGTATCCAAGAGCTTCTGACGGCACTCGGCGGAGAGAAAGGCACCGCAGTCGCCGCTGTCATCTTGAGATCCGCTTCTAGCCACCCGATCCAGCCTTGGTATGAAGATGTTGACACACAGCTTCCAGCCCGCGTCGACCTTTTGTTGTCCATCGACTTGTCTGAGGTTGATGGAGGAACCGGTGAAGTAGTTCCTATTTCCGTTCCTGTTCCTGTTCCTGTTGCTGTCGTTATCGTCATCATCGTCGTCATCATCGTCATCTCTACTTCGAAGCCGATATGACAGCTGCTGCAACTGTCGCTTATCGTTGCGAGTGGTGTGAATACGCGCAGCGACGTTGATGCTGAGGTCAAAGGGGGTCCCTGTCCACGCGGAATCGTTTGCTGGCGGAAAGGCAGCGGATACGTCTGGGCCGTTGAAGCGGTAGGAGGTCGTCAGGTTGGGATGGTCCATTGCCGAGTTCCAGTCTGCTGTGCTGATGCCGTGAGGTGCACCTGTGCCTCTGATGACGGAGAAGTCTCTATCTGCGAGAGATGGGCCCGCAGCTGCCATGATGGCGAGTGCTGTTTGGAGGTAGTGCATGTTGTATGATGAAGACGGGTCTTGATGACTTCAGTTGATTGCGGTGAAATTGTTTTAGTGACTGATTTTCGAAATCAGAAGGAGAGAAACATCCCATGATCTATGTCATTTTGAGTTCCCGACGTTTCTCTGCATCCGAAGACGTTTTGCTTCCTTCCGGTGACATTGCCAAGACTTTACATATCGTCGGGGACAGATGCCCAAGCCAGAACCGCTCGACACACCTCAGAACTATCGTATAGCCAATCGGCGGACTCCCGACATATTCTGTGCTTGTTGACGAGGTACAAGCATGCGAGAGCGATCCTGATACTGTGGCGCTTCTCAACCCTCCGAGAGCGGGCGGAGATCGCTCCCGAAGACGCGGCGACGGGCGACGATGTATGCCAAGACGCAGATGAGCAATTATCAAGTCAAAATAAGATTGACGACAGAAGGGATAAACTTTTGATTAAGCTTAGGCTGGGATCGTTCCCACATTGGTGGTTCTGGTGATCCATCGTGATGGCGGGTTTGCCGACCTAACCGGCCGTTTTAGCCGGCTTGGTGTTGAGGACCTTGGCTTCGTTTGACTACATCTCATCGCAACCGGGAAGCCTAATCAACCAAAGAAATTGCCAAAAACAGGAGAATACAGCTAGAAACGCATATTGATGTAGTAGATGAAAAGAAAAGGGTGGTTCTGTGATCTGCCTGCGAAAGAACTCCTGTAGCCGAGCTGCATATCTTCGAATGGCACATACTCAATGCTCATTGTCTCGTCACATGTAGTAAATGCATATAAGCCTCCACTCAAGGGCTCTATATCTCCCATCGTTCAATGAAATTTCAAGGTAAAGACGCTAATAACGATATTATTGTTCATCTGTTGCGCCTAGGCCGTTCTTCATCAAGGGGTGTAGAGTTAAAGGTCAAAAACATGTGAGATTACTCAAACAACGATATCTAGTCCTTTGTTGACGGAATTACGGGACGCATTATAGCTGCCCTTCGAGGGTGACATAAAATCAATCGCTATATCTTATCACGATGGGATAGCATGTAGCGAGTTGAAGCGCTGGCAACTCTTCAATTTTAGCTTCTTCAATGCACTTAAAGCCCGAGAATCGCAAATTACCATTTCGAAGGACCCTACACTGAGGTTGTCATCCGTTTGCTTGCAGCGATCATTATACCACAGCTGCGTCCTCGCAGATTTTCTAAAAGACCAACAGCTGGTAAATGGTGTTAATTGCTGCCCGCAATCAGAGGTGCGACTTTTAACAACTGAAACAAACAACTTCCGAAACCTACGCGGAGAAGAGCAGAATTGGCCCGGAACTGAGGCGCAGACTCCAGCAGTGGCGTGGCAGGCAGAGAAAACGATTCAAGGGGAATTAACACGGAGCGGCGGCGGAGCAGGCCGGGCAGCACGGAGGAAGGTTCGCGGTAATAACCAAGTCAGACCGAGACGGGGTCGGGCGATGACGTGGATACATATTGGGGGATGCGTAAGTCGCAAACTCGCAATTGACTCGGCTCACTCCTTTTCATTTCCCGCGGTGGCCGGATGGCTTATCAGGAACGCAAGCAAAAGACGTCTAAAGAGTCTGGACTGTTCATCCCGTCAAAGAATTGGAGATGTACGACGACATTCCCCTGCCAAGAATTGAAAGTGCTGTCGGGGCAAATGCTAGGCTATGGAGTATCTCGTTCTCGTTCGGATGATGCAGCCTTCCACATCACTTGGGAAGCGACTTGAGGGCTGGTGCATGCTGCCGGTATTCAGTCTCCGTTTTTTCTGTAAAGTCAAAACAAGCCCTTGATGACGGAAGATCTGTTTTCCAAAGATCGTCGCTCAACTAGAAACTAGATGCGATGGTCGGGAATATCTCCAATTGGCCCCCCTCAACAGTCGGTCGCGAAAGTTGATCGATCTACAAACGGCCATGTAGCACAGGCTGTCCGCGTAGCATTGACTCTGGTATTGAGTTCCGCCTAGCTTTGGCGGCTGGCCACAAGTTCGACGCTCTGGAAGACTCGAATTGAGTTTTCTCTTGTTTCGAGAGACGGCAACACGCACAAACCAGTCTTGGTCCCGAGGACCAGCTCTTAACGGTTGTAGTGGCTTGTTAATTGACAGAGTTTCGGGAAGAATGAGCTTGAGTCAATTGCCCTCACAGAGATTTGGCAAGTGGCACTCAGGGCAAACCTAGTTACCCAGTCGCCAGCACCGTAGCACAGGCACAGCCCAAGATTTTCTGCCCCTATTTACTTATGATGTTTCGTTCCAACTGGCGAGCCTCGGCGCCAAGGTACGTCATGAGAGCAGATGTGTTCCTCTGGCGCAGCATTCTAAACCTGGTCTCTGCGAAAGGATGGACTTGCTCGAGATGTTCTGAAAAATGAATCTGGGATGCATCTACAATGGATCAGATAATCTAGGCCTTACTTTGCAGCGGGTGACGCCTTCATAATCGGCGAGCTACAACGTCCGAGGAGCCGCTAAGAAAGCTGCCAAGCATCTAATGTTTAGGTCGATACCGAACTTCTCATACCGCTTCTATTCTTGTCGTCGCGCGACATCCGGGCGGGTAGTGCGACATGGCCTATGGGGCATCAGGGGCGCGTGAGCTGCAGGGTGATCGCAATCTTCCTGGCGTAAACACATCGCCCACAACGGCCAAGATACAATGATGGCTTTCAGGATCTGAATCATTCAGCTTTTTGGCATTCTCGGAGGTCCTCCGCTACTCCGTAAGACAAATCATCACATGAAGCCTGATGCACAAGATTGATGTCGCACCTCATCCCGCCTCTCTTAGTCAGTATTAACAAGCACGAGGGCTGCAATCATGGGCCGTGGCAACGTGGTGATCCCGAGACGGCATTGAAAGCTCTTTGTTCAAGACATCTTTAACAAAGGCCAGACCACTCCGTGATCAGCGTTCCCTTGGACTATTCGACGTTCCACGAATCACCAAATCAGATGAATTCTATTCTGCTGGACATCCGAAAACGATATGGGGGCTGACGTTGCAGTGCGGAGGCAACCACATCGACCCAAAATCTTTATCCTCGACAAGCGGGAAGCCACAGCTTTTGCTGAGTCTGCTCAACAGAAAACACGGCAGAAAAATACGGCCTTGGGCAGCAGACGCGGGAGGCAAACTGCGAGTACTTGCTTACCAGGTTGGCTCGGTCCCCACCTGGCTCAAGGCGGCCGGGACACGTCCGGTCTCTTGTAGATGACCCTCTGCTCATCAAAAGGCCCGGACTCCGGAAGGGTGGGTGAGATACTCCGATCGCCCACCGGCAGGCAAAAACTTCATGGCTAAATCAATACCAACAGCTGGGGCAGTCACAATGTAAGTGACGGCTGTATCAGACTTTTCTGTTTGAATGGGATTCTTTTCTTCTTTGCAGACTGCACGGTTCTAGGGCCGTCCCCCCGATGGCCGATGCGTGGCCTCACCGTCACATCATGTATCCCCCATAATAGGGGCCATTATGTGCGGCTGCATCACCGGTATTGACCTGCAGCGTGTCTTTGCAAGGCCACCCTTGCCATATATTCGATGACATATAGTTCCCTCCCGCACTGATTCTCGAGTTTTCATGATACGATTTACCAGTGCCGCGGTTCAATACGGAGCCAGCATAAGGACAAAGTTGTTATGCATCTCCAGCTCGACCGCAGATCAGAGACAGATATCGGATGGGATCCTCAATAATTCAATCTCTATATCGTCTGATCCGAAGAGGCCGGCGTCGCGCCAGCTTGATGCTACGTGAACAAGCAAGGCGTCCACGGCGCCGAAAGAGAATACTTGGCGACCGACCTGCGAAGTGATAGCATGCCCAGACATCAGCGGGCGATGGAAAAGCAGGGGAAGCCTCCATGTTGCTCTATCCGTACGGATACCGTCATCGCCATCAATATTCCGTAGATTGACCGACCATTCTGTCCCGCCAAGGCCCTTGCCCATCTCCTTTCTCGCTCTTTCGCCCTCGCGACCGCGCCAGCTCTACGTCCTGACACGGGAAGAGCAATATGGGAATATGGGCATCATGAGGTTTTTTCGTCTGAGAAAGTCTTGGCACTGCTTTGGAAAACTGGAGATGGTGGAGTTGTCAAGATAGACGACTTCGCGGTGGTTGGCTTGGCTGACTTGTGACCCCCTTGGAGAAGTTGGCGCTGGGCACGACTGTTTCGAAACGTCCTGCAAGGGGCAAGTTCGACATTGAGAAGTTGGAGTTGGGCCCCCCCAGATGTCTGACAGGGGAAGTGGGCAGCAAGAAATCTCGAGTGTGGATATGTGTGTGGTTGCTTGAGAGGCGTGATGGTGCGTGCATGTGTGAAGCTGAGTGGTGACTTTGGGTGAGAACCTGAGAAGGAATGCGAGGAGCCTCCAATGTTGGTGTGGGCGCGTGGCTTAGCAGTTGCTGTCAGGGGCTCTTCGAGTCCACCCATCTGGACGATCACTTTATTCCAGACCTGGGATTCGTCTGTGTTCAAGCTTCCGGGCCAAGAAAGATCGAATTGAAGGGCGGGCCTAGCTAGTCAGGAACCCGGGGTCCCCAGTCGAGCCGTCCAATGCTACAAAAGACTGTCACTCGAGGTTCTGCTGCCCTCTTTGGGCAACGACCTGCGCGCGGACAATCAAGTTGGGATGAGTCTATGTCCCAACTCGGGCGTTGGCTCCGTTCCTACGATGGAGACGGGCTCCCGATGGTAACTCCATGAACATGAAATGCCACATGCAGACCACCTGCACGACGTTGGCGCCGTTGGCAGCACAGGATTCAGCTCTACGTGAGCCCACTTTACGAAACCTGGTGGATTCTGTGGCTCTAGTGCGATCTTCACTGCCTGCATCGACGCTTTCATTTCCTCCGCGTCGCCTGTTGATTGATGCTGTATTCACTGCGGAGGAGATGGAGCACCTACTCTTGGCACGCGTTGAAGCAGGATTGGGCCTCGTCGAATACACTACCCAAGTAGTCTGGACGAGCCTCTG